GATAATACTCATGAATAATTCAATCACATTATCATATTTCTTTTTAAAAAGTAAACATCATCCGTCAATCCACCTATTCTAACACTCCCCAATAAAATGGAGTGGCAAAAAAAATCGCCATATACTAGAAATCACCAGGACTCTTCTCTTTCAGAATCAAATGCCAAAAAAAAATCTTGGGGAGAAATTAGTTTCAAAAGTCTTATAAAATAAATTATTAGGTTGAAGTCATTCCTACAAATAACTTCCTCTTAAAAATTCCTCCAAAAATTTTGTGCATTGCATGTCCACATCCACAACCAACATAGTTTCATTATAAAACTTATGAAATTCCCAAGAATCAACATGTTATTTTTTTAAAAGTGGTTCTAAATTTTTTACTTTTCTAATTGTGCACTCAGACATTTGAAGATCTTGTGAAATCTCCATTAATAACATATCATATTTCTTATAAGATAAAAAAATAATTCCTCATGATTAATTCACTCACATTATGATAAAAAAATAATTCAATAATAACATCAAGTTATTTTAGACAGATAATACTCGTGATTAATTCAATCACATTATCATATTTCTTTTTAAAAAGTAGACATCATCCATCAATCCACCTATTCTAACACTCCCCAATAAAATGGAGTGGCAAAAAAAATCGCCATATACTAGAAATCACTAGGACTCTTCTCTTTCAGAATCAAATGCCAAAAAAAAATCTTGGGGAGAAATTGCCTTATCTGCCACATAACTAATTAAGAGTAATTAGTTTCAAAAGTCTTATAAAATAAATTATTAGGTTGAAGTCATTCCTACAAATAACTTCCTCTTAAAAATTCCTCCAAAAATTTTGTGTATTGCATGTCCACATCCACAACCAACATAGAGGTAAATTTGACCTTAGAGTTCTCAAATCAGTCTTTATTAGATATTCCTTCACCCAAGAAGGATATAAGAGTTATCATCCAACCACTAAAAAATTCTTTCAAAAAATATCACCTTTGATAAGTATAATTTTTCCAATCAAATTCATCTTCAAAGAAAGAACATTCAACAAAAAAAAAAAGTATAATGACATTTAGTTTTCAACTTAATACTCCTATAACACAAACTCTAACAAATCCAAACATAGTACCCTTTCAAGTCAATATAAGAACGAAAAAGCCAAACAAAAACATTCAGCAAGCTCAATACTCACAATCTCTGTTTAAAATTGCGCAATAAGAGGCGCGCCTCTGCGCAATTTGGCCCAAATGCGCCTTGAGGCTTGCGCAATTTTTCCCTTGGCAGAGGCGTACGCCTCAGTCATTGTGAGGCGCGCCTCAAATGCGCAATTGCATAATTTTGCTTGAGGTGTGCGCAATTTTGATGAGATTAAACAGACATTGATTGAGAATAGTGTTATCATTATATCAGATGAATGGTCTGACATGAAGAGCAGGAGCTTGATTAACATCCTTGTCAACAATCCCTACGACACGGTGTTTTTACAATCAGTTGAAGCTTCAGATGAGGTTAAAAATGCTGCATTCATTTTCAATTTACTAGATGATGAGACAGATTTGCCATTATCAGACTTACAGCTAGAGGATCTAAGTGTGGATGTCTTGAGGGGCGAAGCAGATCAAGTGGGCACATTCACTAGTACCACATCACACACATCCACTAGCTCTTCATCACAACAATCAAATAAAGGTATTCCACAACTTCTTATATGCTATTGCATTATATTTATATCAAGTGAACAATTAACATGTAATGATCATTCTTATTTAACAGGGAAGAGAAAAGTGAGTCATATTGAAGATGATGAAGATATGACATTCATAGATACAATTAGAGAAGAAGATTCTCTTGAAGACCCATTTAGTGATGGGATATGATTGGATTTTATATGTTCCTTCTTAATTATACTTTGGGAGTTCTGATAGACTACAATTTTATAGTTTTGTACTTTGGAACATGCTTTTATTGCATCTCTTTTCTTAATTTCCACTCATTCTACTTGTCATTTAGATGTTTTTATTGTATGATAGAATCTTGCTATTATTTACCTGCTAAAACCCTTAAATTCTCATTTACGCAATTCTGCGTCCGTGAGGTTTACGCCTCACACCACCTCGAGGCTTATTTATGCAATTTTAAACCTTGCTCACAATTGTTATTAAGCAAGAATGATCAAATCATCACTATATAATTTCCTATGCATCCCATCCCTAAATAGACATTTTAAAAAAAAATTCTTCTACCCATAAAGAATTCCTAACAAATATCAGCTCTAATTCCATTACAATACCACAAGTCCTATTTAAGGCACTTGGAGAAAAAGAAAATGAAAAAAAGATGTCATAATAAAGGTCAAAATGGTAGGATGCAAGGTTATGTTGGATAAAAATTTCATAAAAGAAAAATGGAAAAGTTGGCCGATCTACACTCCATATGTGGCCAACAAACGATCAATTTATAAACATTCTCACAAAAAGACTCTACAACCTCACGTTAAAAAATATTATAAAAAAAATTTGGAATGGTAGATTTATGTCATTCAATTTAAGAGTGTTGATGGATCATGAAACTCACAAGTCAACCAATCTTAGTAGGAATCCTTGAGCACACCGATTAAGAATAGTAATCGGTGGACTGATCCTCTTTTAGCCCTTGATTGCAATATGTGCACCTCCTATTTCTATTTTAGCAGCTTGCCCCTCTTGGGGACGTTTTTTCTTCTTTTTTTTGTTAAATAGCTTTGAGTTATTTTCATTGTAAACCTTCGAGAAATCTATAAATACTTCCACAGTTTATATAAAATCAAGCAATAAAATTCAAATTAATTTTTCTACATTTCTACTTTTATATAGATAATAAAAAAAGCCAATTACAATCTATTAAATTATTCAATATATTTTTCTAATTATTAACATTCATCATTTCCTGAAGCTTAAATGACAACTTGATGTAAAGTAATGAGGTTTGAATATCTAAGATCTATTGCATAGAACAAAACAAATAATTAATTTATAGAGTTAACACAAAATCTTTAAGCAAAAGTAACTTAAGAGTATTTGGCATTCAAGGAAAAATATTAGACTTGAAAAGAAAAAAATTATAAAACTACAATTAAATCAATCATTTTATATGAATCAATGTATTATGTGATAAAGAAGTCACTTATGCCTAGTTTAGTAGCACAAAATAAAATGTTATGATGGATGTGTAATAAAACTAAAATGAATAAATTGAGAAATAATTATAATAAAGAAATGGTGGGAATCAACTGAAATAAACATAATTTGAAGTAAATTTATGAGACTTGGGCATGTACAGAAGTAAATGATGGATCAATAAAATGGGTAAGTAAAATTAATCTGGAAGATTAATAAGGAAAAGAAGCGCAATAAATGTAAAAATTTTATAACTTGTGCATAAAGATTAGCGAAAAATAAAAACTTTGTATCTATGCATTATTCAATAAGAATAAATGAAGAATGAAGATTCATATCCCATATAATTGGTTAGAAGTTAATGGAGATAATTTCAAATTGAATGTAGAGTAAAGTCGGTGGCGGTGGCCATCGGTGACCAGAGGAGGTGATGACGGTGGCGGGTGGAGGAGGTTGAAGGGAGGCGGGTGGCGGTCAAGCAAGCTTGTGGTGTAAACGGTTTTCACTCAAAATCGAAGAAGTTTGGTTTACACTCAAAATGAATTACTTCACTTTACATTATATTTAATATACTTTACTTTACATCATTTTGTATTTCAACCAAACACAAAAATTTGTAAAACTCTTGCATTTCAAATACTTTACACCATAAAGTAATCCACCCAAACAACCCCTACATAAATTCCAATTCTATTTCGGCAACACTAGATGTTCACTCAATGTAAACAAAATGTCAAGCACTTTAGTTGCCAAATATGAATAAATAATCATAATTATTGTTGAACATTCCTATTCTTAAGTGTGCAATAAAATAAACACACTTCATACAATAAACTTACTATTTTCTAAATAACACCACAATCTAGATAACATTCAACCAAAAAAAATATAATTATTAATTGTAAAATTGTTAGCATAAAACAATATTTCATTCATCAAATACATTTTTGTTACCTAAATAACTTGAGATTTTATTCATTTAAACTAACGCCCGCAATAGCGCACGCACACACGCACATATATATATACACACATTGCACATTGTCGGATGCTTACTTCCTGAATTTTTCTTAAAATGTATAATATGCATGTCTATGTTCGGGTATTCAAGATTTACAAATAGGAGATCTCATCCATATTTTGGATCATATTATAAGAGAAGCCAAACGAATTAAATAGATGTATCAAAGTTCATTTAATACCCCTTACATGGAGAAATATTAAATATAAGCAAATTGAAACAAAAACAATCCTATATCCCAATTCATTGTGGTAGTACAGACCATCCCATTGGAAAATGTACACATCTTCAGAACAAGAGGAAAACAAGATCTATAAGATTAAAATCTGCCAACATGTACTACATAAGGACAGTAGCACCGCACCAAGAGAGAAAAAGTCCTATCATGTTATCATACATGAAAGTTTTAAGAATGTGAGCTTTCCGATCAAAAGTCTGTTATGCAAATCACATCAAAAAATATAACCAACCATGAATAAGAAAATTTTAATGAGCAAAGTAATTTTCAATCTCTAGGAATCAAAACATAGACTCGAATACAAATAAATTGATTAAAAATAGCAGATGAAACCATAATGTTGACTAGATACAAAAAAGGGATCAAATAAACTGAAGAAGACGAGGAAAAATTTAGGTGGAATAACTACAAAAAGCCTGCAAAGATGCACAAAACAAAGCACTTTGTCGTCCAACTTCTTCCATAAGTGAAAATTCAATACTCAAGTCGCATCTACAGCCCAAATAAACCACAATGCACTCAATGATCCGCAAGCAGCAAAGAAAATTTGGTCTGCTTATAAAAAAACTGGATGCAAAACAGCAGCAGCTCTCATAATCTTTAAAATCAGCATTTAAAACTCAGAATAGCGTATATTCCTTCAAAAAAAGGATGCAATCATCGAGCTGCATGAGACCAGAAAGGGATAAAAAAAATACAAAGGACTAATAAGAACAAGTGCAAAAACACTTGAAATAATGTCACGGAACCATAACAGAAAATGTTGTATCTAATGTCACTTCAGTTGCAGTAAATCCCAAGTGCTTGCAAATGAGGAATATCAAGAAGCCGTGACTATTAGATAAGAAATATCCAATCACGAGCCGATTAGACCCGTCTAACAATTGACTCAAGAAAAACTGATCAAAACTCAACCTAGCTGTAGGCTGATTCGGTCTTGATCAGATTCCATAGCTCGTTAGTTTCAGTTCACACAGAATTCGAGCTTCAACCAATTTTCCTCTTTTAGTTAAGACATTCTCTGGCATAGAACAGCTGCAGGATAAATACACACAAGAACAGCACAGAGAAAAAGCAGCAAACTGATATTGATAAACCTTTTCCACCGGCAAAATACAGAGTAGTTAGTATCAAATCAAAAGAGATAACAAGTGGAAGTGTTCCCTGCAGATACTACTACCTGTTGTGATATCCTGAGTACTAGTAAATACAGAAAAGGAAATATAAATTGCGAGAAAGCGCATAGCGTCCAAAATGGAAAATTTGATATAAAAAAAGGATAAAGCTGCCAAATTAAAATTTATACTACTCTAAAAAAGGAATTTCACAATGCTACTCTAAAATTTATGCTACTTGAGCAGAACTCTTATCAGATAATGCGTTCCGGCAGTAGCCTAGTGAAAGCCATAAAATAACATAGATTTCAACATAACTGGCAGTAAGAAAATAAGCATCATGATGAAATATGTGGATAACGTATATAATTCATAGATCCAACAGATATACAGCTAAAAAATCTGTAAAGAAGTGGCATAGAAAACAAACCTTCGCCCATCAGGATTAAATGCCAGAGCATTTATTGGTCCAAAATGACCTTTTACACCCCCTATTTCTTCTTCAAGAATCTGTAAGGAGTTGAGAAAAAGCAAAATAAAAAATCACAAGAGCATCAGAAAGGACTTTTAGTAGTCAGCAATTTCGTAAAACCACAACAAAAATAGTATTCGAGAACCAAAAAACTTAATTAGAAACTATTTTATTTGATATCTACTATTTGATGCAAAAGAGATCAATAGTCAAATAGTTTGACAACTCCGTTGTAAGTAAATGGCAGCAAACCTTGTGAAAGAATTTTGCTTCAAATTTGCCAGCCCTGTGATCAGTTCTTGTAACAGCTGATGCATCCTGACCACCACCAATAACGACCTACAAGTTTAAATAAACCACATCGAAGTAAATTAACTTTTTCCTCAACATATTTCCTTCCAAATAGCAATTCTGAAATACCACCAATAAAAAGGGTAAAATCTGCAAAGCAGAAATTTCGCACATAGAAAAAGCACCCAGGTAACAAAAGGAGTTTAAGGTTTGAAGCTAACCATAGACAAAATATCTAAAACACTTAAAATAAATTTACTCCTCATCTACCTCCGACAATAGTGCTACCAAAAAGAAAAAAAAAAAAAAAACTTTACTTCACTTTTTAATCAAAGCAACAATGGCATCATTTCCTCCACTTGTCTGGGATGGCAGAATTTCTTTCACTTGCATATGTTCTATGTTCCCATTCTATCACACAACCAAGTTTTAAATTGCGCAATCAAATATTGAGGTATTTTCTTTCCATGAAGTGAGGTGTACCCCTCAAAATTAAACCATTAAATTGATACAAAATATAAAATAATAAATAAGATATTCACATCACAGATAGAAATTAAAGATAACAAAAAAAACGAAGGTTATGAAAGGTCATATAAGCTACAACCAATGCTAAATAAATAGTCTCTCCCACCTAGTTCAGCATAGAAAAGTAGCATAATGTCATAATTTATGAAATTTAAATTCTCCTACTCTTATCACTTAGGATCTTCTTTAAAATCAACATTATAGTTATTTGCTTTCTCTCATTCAACATAATAAACCTAAGAAAAAGGGTTTCCAACAACAAGATGAGAGGCGTTGGAGGAGAGGCAACAGTGGCAAAACAGCGATGGGAACTTAACAGGATCAAGTATGAGCATAAGGGTATTGTGACTTGCAGCTATAAGTTTGAGGTTGTGGGCCTCTTCTCGAGTTTAATTTGAATTATGTATGATGAATATGTTTAATTATGCATAAAAAGTTTATAAATTTAAATTTTAAAAGTACTTAAACCATAATTTTCGAGTCTCTTCAAAATTGCATTAAAATTGCATTGAGACATGCATTGAGGCGTAAGCATCATCCCGCAAACCCAAGGCATACCCATCATTATTTCTTAAAATTGCATTAAGGCAAGACTTAAAACGAGCCTCTAATTGCACACATTTAAACCATGCACACAACTATGATATAAATTTCATCCTTTATTTGTCTCCACTCATTCATTTCATTTCTTCACCTCTAACCCATCCCCTTTCCATCATAAAATGCCACTTGGACAATTTTTGTGACATTCTATTTAAGGCAAAATGATGTAGACAAGATAAATGTATAAGAACAAATAACCCCATAATGCATTAAGAAAGCAACAAGTGTAGTAATGAACCTAGTAGAATCAAGCATTACCTTATTCAAGTTCGCTTATTTGTTTTTTTTTTTGAATCATAACAACAATAGTATCATTTCCCCCGCATATTTGGCATGGCAGAAATTTTTTTTTTTTTTTTGCACATGTTAATTTACTACATTTTCCCATTCTATCATGCAACAATGAAATAACTACCATCCATTCTTTTTAGTTATCTCCACTCATTCATTTTTTTTTTCTTCACCACTTCTAACCCCTCCTCTTTCATTATAGAATTGGGATGTCTATCATAAAATGCCACTTTGACAATTTCTGTGGCAAAAGCCTATTGAAAGGCAAAATGATGATGCATAAATAATTAAAAGTCATGTAGACAATATAGATAGATATAAGGCCTGTAGCCCCATAATGCATTAAGAAAGCAGCAAGTATTACTGTAAATAAACCATGTAGAACTAAGCATTACTTATTCAAGTTTGTTTGTTTATTTTATTAATCAAAACAACAATGGTATCATTCCCCCACTTATCTAGCATGGCAGAACTTCTTTTTCTTGCATTTGTTCATTTACTAAATGTTCCCATTATATGACACAACTATGATATAACTTCCATCCATTCTTTCTTTTTCGCAACTTTTTTTTTTCTTCAACTCTTCTAATCCATCTTCTTTCATTTTAGAATTGGGATGCCATCATAAAATGCCAGCTTGACAATTTTTGTGGCAACGCCTATTGAAAGGAAAAATGATGATTCATGCATCATTAAAAGCTATGCAGGCAATAAGATAGATAAAAGGCAGATAGCCCAATATGCATTAAGAAAGAAACCATTATAGTTATTAACAAACCTACTAGAACCAAGTACAATCTTATTCAAGTTCCTCTATCTATTTTTTTTATTGAGTTTGAGCCAAACTTAAACACAACTAGAATTTTAAAATCTTGATCAAGCAAGTTTATTAGTTTTCTAAGTAAATTTGGACCTAGTAGAACCAAGTACTATCTTATTCAAGTTCATTTATTTATTTTTTTATTGGGTTCAAGCCAAATATTTTTTTTTTTATTTTTTTACTTTTTATTTTTTTGGGTTCAAGCCAAATATGAAATGGCTAGAGTTTTAAAATCTTGCTCAGGCTTGTTTATTAATTTTCTTATCAAGTTTGAACTATAATAGAGTATTAGTCGGACATAACCAATTATATATTTGCTGCTAATAAATATCTACATATATGTTTATCACAGTCCAAAAAGGTTCAAATTTTAATTAATATTGACACAATTCGCTAAATAATATTTATCATTTATGTTATTTGATAAAGTTTAGATATTTATAAAATCTATTTTAATCTATATATTGTTATTTTCAGCATACTTATATCTCAAATAATATACACAAATTTTAAAGTGCATAGTATATAAGAAAATCAATGCAAGAACAAAGCCGAAATCCTTAAAAAAGTAATTAGATCAATTTAGATTTAAAATAGGAATAAGCATATTTTCATACATAAATAAATGAACAGATCAATGTACAAGTTTATTCATTTACATGTCAAGCTTTTTAAATTTTGTAAAGCTAATTCATCTACTTAAATAAACAAACATCCTAATATGAATGAAAACCGAATTGTTTATCAAGAATACTAGTTCGCTTACAATCCCAACAATAAGTTTAATGTGGATAATGGAAAGTGGAGACAAAGTAGTATGTCATTTAGGTAGCTAATAAAGTCTAAATTTTCAAAATGAAACAAGAATAACTTTAGATAGAAAGTTGTCCTTGATAAGTTGTGTACTAATTTACTGATTGTATAAAAATTTATAAGAAAAACAATGATAATTGTAATAACATGGAAAAAATATGCTTTTAGCATAAAAAATAGTGATCCTAGAGGGTAGGCATGGAGTAGTGGTTATGTTGCCTGCATTGCCACCTAGAGATTTTAGCTTTGAGTCATGAAAAACTGTTCCCTGATATGGAAGAGTAAACTTGTGTACTTTAACCCTTCCCTAAGCCTACTTTCGCAGAAGGTTCATGCAATGAGTTACAACCCATCAAAATAATGATGCTAAACTAAAGAATATATATAAATATCAAAGACAACAAAATGTATGCTTACATGATCAAGAAGTGGAGAGATGTCACATGCATTTACTGGACGCTCTGTCACATATGTCTTGATAAGAGTCAATGTTCTTGAGTCCCATAGCTTAAGAAAAAAGAACAAGGAAAATCAGAAGAGACACCCAAAAAATAAAGCAGAATAAAAAATTGCAATTCACATCAGGAACAAGTCATTAAAAACCTTAGCTGATTTATCCAAGGAACCTGTGAGGAAATGAGAGCCATCGGAAGACTTTACTAGTGAGGCAACTGTTTTCTGATGACCCGTCTCTTTGTCAGACTCCTTCAACAACTGACCAGTCTACATGCATGAAGGAAAACCAAATCAGAAACAGAGCAACTCTAAAAGGAATCACAAAAAACAACTCGATCCTATTCATTCATTCATAAATCCAAATAAGAATGCATATTGACAGGAACCTCAACTAGCCATTCTTTGTGAAGAATAACTAATAACAATTACAGGCAGGCAAAAAGAGATCATGGCAATTAATCAAAGCATTTTTCAACAAAATTTGTCTGCATAAAAGCATAATAAAAAGTGCAAAAAGGCAAATACTCATGTCAACTTATCAATGGCAAATACCAAAGAACAGCAACTAACAGTGGTAAAGAACACAGATCTGTGTTATCACACAAAACAACCGACATGGAGCACCACATAATTTGATGATGCTTGCACAACTGAATAACCACAATCTCATTCACCAAAAGAATGCAACCTCAGTCATGAACTGGATTACATCACCATGATTATGGATGATATAAATATCAGTTTAACTTTCTGAACTTGTAACCATAGTGATGGCAAGGCAACATATGTATGGGAAAATAACTCTGTTCACGATAAACCTCAAATAGTATGATAAATATAAGAACCAGCTAATATGACTAGACAAAATTAAACGCACCTCAGAATCCCATAACCGGATTACTGCATCTTCACCAGCACTTATAATAGTCTTATTTAAAGGCCCCCAAACAGCTCTATTGATTCTCCCTTGAGGGCCCTTAATTGTAAGAATAGAGTCGCCAACCTCTATAAAAGATAACATAATAAAATAAAGACATACATCATAAATGAGATTTTGATGATTCAAAAATCAATAGCAATAATAAAAGAAAATAAGCAAATATTGCATGATCTATGTTATTTAAGTATGACAGTTGATCGTTAAGATTTTCAATATCTTGAATTGCCATAATGTGTGGTTAGAGATATCAATTAAGAAAAAAAAAAAGACAATATTTTACATATGGGTTAATCACTGCTTAAGAAAATATCATTGGTGTATGGAACACACTGATCCTGCAACAAATAAGAAAAACGGCCTTCAAGCGACAGGCAACATATTTTACCTGTTTATCAGGAGCGATTTCCATGTAATCAAAGAAAGATTCAACTGCCCGCTCCCAATCGAGGTAGTCCTCTATGTGTAATCGGCCATCGAAGAAGGGAATGTCTAATTTGACTTTGAACTCTCCCTGTTGGCGATGGTTCACATGATGTCGCCTGGGTCGGTCGTAATAGACAGGGGGTTCTTCTTCAGCTGAATCTGACATTTCAAATGGCTGGGGAGCTTCAATTTCGAATTCCGAATCTGAAGCAACTAACCCAGTGGGTGGAGTGTGACGTCGACGGTGATGCTGAGGCGCCGATATGGTTGCCGGTGCTCCCAGACGCACCATCGTTGGGTTTGGTCGATTCGTCCGAAGGGATCGAATCTCGTTGCGCATTTCCGTAGAGAACCGGAAAAACTCAGTAGTGAGTGTTTCCAGTTGTCTTGAAATGTTTGTCTGTGCTGTCCATAAGGCGTCCATGCTCCTGTCGTCGACTGGAGCGGTTTGCCTGCTACCTTCCGCCATTGAAGCTCGAAGCCAAGCTCTGATACCAGTTGGTGTATGGAACACACTGATCTTGCAACAAATAAGAAAAACAGAGAAAAGAAAGGAAACGGAGACGGGGAAGAAGAACGGAGGTTCCAGGAGAAGGAGTATATTTTCCACTGTAATAATTCAATACCAGTCTTCTATAGCTCCTCATACTAGTATAATACTATGGTTTAGTCTAAAACAGTAAAAGACTAAAATAGTGCCACTAGGCAGCACATGTGTAAAGGCAGTAAGTAATGATTGCAGAAATAACATAAAAAGATAGTGGAGGCTGTAGTTTGTTAGGAAAGCAGAGTAGGTAGCTGCGGTAACGGGTCAACCCGGAACTTGTGATTGAACCTGTTCCACATCAATCATCCTTAAAGTTACATAAAATGGAGGATCTTTTTAGGCCTGCATTAAAAATGAGGCACATAAAGCGCTAATAATAATCTAATTAAAAAATAATATCAATTCTGTGAATTCAATTGATAATTTACCGATCACAAATCTACTTTGATGATGTCAGACCACCATCGAGGTTACGGAACACATTCTATCTAAATTGTAACTCATACATGTAACTCAGGCGAGTCACCATCACCTAATCAAGTGCTGCTAGCAAAAAACTGGCTTAAGATTGCAATAAGAAGCTATCTGAATCACATGAATTATGCATTTTCCATTTATAGATCTTCAAAACAATTGTGCCCAAACATGGAGGATAGAATATTGAAATCAATGCCATTCAACTATACATTACAAATAATGAAATAAGATACTTCCATTTTTCACTGAATTTTATAAAATATTTTAATGTTATATCAGAAAACTTTTATAATAAATTGTTAAGGGATCTGAAAAAAACAGAAATTAAGAAAAAGGGACAAGCATATCAACTTTAGCACGATCCAATTAGCTACCAATTAATCAGATTAGTCCAAATTAAAAACTAAAAGATAAAACATACGTTCATTGGGATCTCTCGATATCCTTTTCACTTGTATAGTGGATGTTTGTCCCATAAAAGGGTCCGTAGTTATAACAGCAAGTTTATCCCCAACAGAAAATTCCACAGCCCTGGCGGGAGAGTCGAAGTTAAAGGAATAGAGTTGGGTGCCGGACTGAACGTCCCATAACTTAACAGTCTGATCTGCACTGCCCGTAATAAGGCGCCTGGAATCCCCTACACGCAATACGGACAAGTTAAAGGCATAAATGCCATAACATGCAACAAAATGCAAAAACAAGTATTAAGTCGAAAATTCATATGTACAGAAATAACTTTCATCAAACATGTCTTATCATGATCGTTAAATGACATTATATATCAACAAAACAGATATCGCAAAAAGATAAATAGGAAACTGATCTGGAAAGAAAAAAAAGGAAAAAAACTGCAATATAACGTACAAACCTAATCACCTAGAAGCTGGCTATTGCCCCACAATGAAATGACGACAAATGGAAAACCCAACAATTTTTGAAGAAGAAAGGGCACTTCCTAGCCGAAACAACCCAATCTCAGACAAAGATAAAATGGAGTCACTCATCAGCTTATACTTGATGAAATGAAAAAAGAATCCGCAACACATAGTAGTAAGACAAAAGAATACAGATGAACAACATAAAACAATCAATAGATGCACCTGTTTCGTCAATCACGCATGATTATCCGGCAAAACAAAAATCAGAAGAAGAAATTCGCATATTTGACACGGAGTACGAGGTGAGAATGAAAGCTTACGGGAAACATCACAGCACCAGACGGCTCCGTTGTGACCTCGATAGACGCCGAGGCGGTCGCCGTTGTCTGCAAACCAGACGGTTGGGTTATGATCTTTGGCGCAAGAAAAGAGAAGATCGCCCTCACGATTGTATTTGAGGAAAGTTAGGGGCCTCTCATGCCCCTTCATCAGAATTGGCCTCATCTTTCTCCTCCCTCCCCTGTGTACCACGCTCACTTCGGTCGACGACGAACAGAGCGACGGCGCCAACCTTTATAAAACCCTAATTCGGTCTCGCGGCGTTTTACCTTTTTGCTCGGGAACAAAGGCCTGGGCCTTGGTAATGTGGGCCGGATAACATTCTAGATCTATGTAAGGAAGGACGATGTAAAGCCCAATTATGAGAGACGCAATGGCTAGCATAAAGGGCTAGCAATTGCTATTCTGTTTAGTTTTTTATTTTTCTAATTCAAATTAATCCTTAACATTAATAAAAAAATTCATTTCTCAAAAAAAAAAAAAGTAGCTATCTTTTATAAGCTTTGACTCGATTTATTCTCTCACAAATCAACTCATTTGATAAATATTAATATAACATATATTTTAAAAGTATTAAAGTTTAAGAGTTAAATTATAAATTATTTAAAAAATTTTTCTCGCTTCTATTTTATTCTAGTGATTTCTTATGATTTATATTCTATTTTATCTTTTTTTAATTATTTTTTTATAACAAAATTAGAACTACTTTTTTTTAATTATATTATTATAACAATGGCTTAAATTAGAACTATTATCTCCCTTTTATATAATAAATAAATCAACTTGTTAATAGATTTGAGTCTATAGAATCAAGCTTGAACTCAAATTTAAATTCGATAAGTTAATCAAACTAAAGCCATGCCAATTTAAATTCAACTCGACTTGTTTATAACCCTTCTCATGCTATTAATACCCACTCAACTCAACTCAATTTAGGAGATTGTATGATGTAGTGGATCGTCGGAAGATGCGACCTGCAAGAAGGATTTGGGTTTTCTCAATCCAGGGAAGAAGAGAAAGAAAAGCTCAAAGGCTCCAAAGACTAATATATTTCATTCAATACCTTTCCTATTACAAAACCTCCTATTTATAATAGCAAAAAAGAGAATTCTAGAACCTCATTCTAACAAACTTAGATAAGATGTCTTAGGGAATACCATAAGCATAAGATGCACCGCATCATTCTCCCCTAGCGTAAGAAAAGGCTCGACTCCGTCGAGTCACGTTATTGAAAAAAAGAGATTATTGCAGCAGACAGATTCCCGGATCGAAGATTTTGTTCTCATCGTTTGGCAAGCATGCCATGTATGCGATGTCGAATGCTCCGCAATGTGTTGGTTCGTCAGCACCGTCAAGTCCTGCTCGGTCCATCGCAAAGCTCACGGGTAGCTTCTGTAAATCTTCAGTAGCTAGTCCTGCAGCAAAAATCACAGCGTGCTGTTCTACAATTCCAACATCAATGCATCTTTTAGGAAACTTCTACAGAAACCTTGATCTGATTCGCGAAAACCTTCGGGCAATAAGGAAGATGAGGATGTCGTCGGCAACCATACCGAGGCATTCTTCTTCTTCTTCGATTGCCTCGTCCACTTCACGTAGACGCCATCAGTCCCGTCATACTCCCACCGTCGTTGATGACTACGCCCCGCTCGAACTCCCTCTGCGATGGCGTGACCCGCCGCCGGAGTACCCGTTGCTCGAGCATCTATTGCGATGGGGCGATCCCCCTCCGTTCCAACACCTTCCGTCTCCCAACTCCTCCCGTCCACGCAAGATGCAATAGGTCGCTGATCATAGCCAGAGCAATGAGCTGAAGCCATTCCAACAAATTTATACCATCGCTGACGACGACTCCGTCGCTGCAGGCGCATCCTCCCTCTCCACACCTCCCACAACTCCTTCCACTCCGCAAAATCCCACGGCCATTGCGGAATCCACCGGGACAGAAAAGCTGCTGGAGGTCGTCAAGGTCCGCGACGTTGTCCCATCGGCCAAGCCGTCGTCTCCACCGCAGGCAGCGTCAGTGACATTTTCTTCCCGGAAGAAATCCATACACGTTGCTGATTGTTCGATCGAACAAGTCTTCAGTATGCCAGAACTCCCAAACCCGCCCGAGGACATTCCCATACCCGACAGTCAACCCAATCCGCCATTGCGGGCCGCACAGACAGAGCTTCCCCTCTGCTTTTCCTTAATCCAGCTCAATGATGCTCTCGTGCCCGTGGACCGAGCAGAACCACAACTCGACGTCGATTCAAACCACATCATTGATCCTCCGGCAATTTTGTCACGGCGACCCCCAACTCCCTCCGAGATGGACAATGCTGGCTTATCTCGACGGCCGCGCACTAAGGAGATGGCCTCCATGTATTTGTCATCATATTCTTCATCTTTGTCAACTACCTCCACTTCGTACTCTTCCAACACCACTATCTCTTTGTCATCGTCCAACTTTTGTTCCCGGCGATTTCCTTCGCCTCTCCCCAACCATCGGTCGTCGACGCCATCGACATTGTCGCAAGGCGTGGCCTCTAAGAGGTCTCAGTCCGTGGATCGGACCCGTCCCTCTTCTTCCTGCCCAGGTCCCCGTGGCGCCTTCGAAGCAAATGGATCAGAAGCTGAGAGGGTCCTCTGCACAACCACCCGGAGCCTTTCCGTCTCCTTCCAGGGTCAATCCTTCTTCTATCAGACCAGCAAGGCCAAGGCGAGCTCCATGACCCCCTCCCGGAAGCCAACACCGGATCGCCGTCGGCCCACTACTGCGGCAGGAAGTTCCACTGCTGCCAGCAGGGATCATTCCGAGTACTCGAAGAATGACCTTATATCCACTGTCCAGTTACTGTGACAGTCATTGTCATTGGACAGTGGTTCGGGCAGGGTTTTATTTGACAGTGCGGAACTCTCGGCTTCTTCAGACACGGATGGTGTTTCTTCCGGAAGTAATTCGGGTGCTCATGAGCTGAATGTACATTGGCATGCTCGGGTCACCTCCCGCGGGATTAGCGTGTCTGCTAGATTTTGGCAAGAGACAAATGGCAGGCTTCGCAGGAAACCGGAGCCTGGGACTCCGGTATCTTCTGTTGGCTCAATGAGTCCAACCATTCCGCGTGGGGATAATTCCATCCGGCATCTGGTGCAGAAAATCTTAGACAGTGGATGGACAGAAATTCCTATGGCATTAGCTGATCAGATTGCTAAAAGAAACGATCAACATTTGATGGCGGTTGAGTTATATGAGAATTACAATGTTGGTATTTGGAACGATGATACTGCAGGTGTGGAAATGCCAAGTTTAAATGCTGCTGAAAAAGTTGATTCAGTGCAATGCATCCAAACTATTCGACGAAATGACGTTAAATGATTCAACCCAAATTTGAAGAGGCTAGAGGAGGTTGTGCAAAAACTTATCGGACCTAAAGGAAGTTATGATGTGGAGGTATTCGACTCAGCCAGTGATTATGTGGAATTGATGAAGTCACTTTTTGATTTTGAGTCCATCCGAAAGCTTCTTGCATCGCCAAAGTTCACATTTTGCTATGACACTCTTCATGGTGTTGCCAAGAGCATGCCAACCTCTGCAGCTCTTGACGTTGTGGCACAGAATCTAAGTCTGAAACTCTTTGAGGTATCTACTGGATGGAAACTCTTTGGCAATTTAATGGATGCTGGCCTTTGTTCAAACCGTGGTGAAGAAAGCTTCATGACAGGTCCAGATCATTTATGTGAAAAGGATCTGGTGGATGGTTCAGTCTCCAAGCACCAGGGAATCCGTTTCTTATCTGCATATGGTTTCCGGCTGGTATTCCGCCTATTTGGAACTGGCTCAGAAGGTGCCACAATTAGGCTCTACATTGAACAGTATGTAAAGGATTCTTCAAGACTTCGAGGGATTCACAGGAAGCCTCTTCATGTACTAATTTTGAAGTCTGCATTCAAAGTCTTCGATCCTGGAATTTGTTTGCCACCCTACCTCCCTTCTAATTAGCGAGCTTCGAACGGAGTCGAGCTCTTTTTACGCAAGGGGAGAATGATGTAGGAACATCTTAGCTTTTATTGTACTTAGAGACTAGTCTACCTCCTTGCTCTAGATAGTTCTATCTTCCTCTTTAAATAGTTAGCTAATGTAAGGTTTTGAATTATTGAATGATATTACACTCTTGAAGCCTTTGAGCTTGCCCTTCTTCTTCCCTGGATTGGGAAATCGAAATCCTTCTTGCTGGTCGAGTCTTCCGACGATCCACTACATCAGTAGCTTTCCTACTGCTTGGCTTTCATAATACAACCATTATTTCTTTCAGTGCTTTTAATTGTAATTGGAAGCTAGTTTCTACAACAATTAAAAAAAAAAAAGCTAACATATGTATATTAACTTTACAATTATCTTTATAAAAGATGTAGCTTTCTCAAATGGACCCTTAGATTATATTTCTCCACACTTTCATTAATCATAAAGTTTAAATAAATTAGATCATAATATCTTTTTTATTTTATCCCAAAAAAGTCAAAATATCTAAATAAAAATCTAATCAATATAAGTTTCATTTGCCTTAGCTTTGCACTGAGATTAATTTACTTATTGAATATTATATATAACGCTAATCATAATACAAATATACTAACTTATTTTTTGTTTAATTTCATTTATTTTATAAATTTCATTATGATTATATACGAACTATTTTCAATACCATAACTACTAATAATTCTATCATAATAACATTATTTTCTTACATTAATTGCTCCTTTTAGGAAAATATAAAATTGGAAGATCTGTATTGATAACGGTGTCGAATATTGGTTGTGAACAGATGGGATGTGAGTGGGTCGACTCGGGCCTGGGTGCCTCGCCATGTCTGCATGGTCTGATAGATGTGGTGAGGTTGGGGTCAGTTTGGGGGCGAATTATTACGTCCGATCATCCAATTCAGACGCGCCACGTCACCCAAATACACTGGAATCCGATGTATTTTGATGATGTGGTGCTTTTGGATTGATGTCCGGACGAATGCGGACACCAGACGTAATAATTTACCCAATTTGAGTGAGCGCTTGGGGAGCAAGCCATCATGAGGAGAGGCATCATATGAATTTCCATCTTCTTCAACCTTATAATCATCATCTCCTCCATTCTATTTTGTCTTCAGCTTCTGTTTCTTTGTGGGCATGGAATTTTGCTTCCAAGTTTTTATTTTTATTTTTATATTGATTAATTTGTTAATTAAAAATAATATCTAAGGTGTTAAATTTATTT